ACTCACACCTACATCTTAATATTCAAGTTACTTAATTAAAGCATATGCAGATGTTTAGCAACAACATGATGAATTTCCTGTCTCAATCCAAAAAATATACACTTTATTTCTATATTCTTATTATATTAAGGGTGTGGGTGTGGGGTGTGGATGAGGATGGGGTATGAGTCTTCTTTTCAACTACACCCAGATCCAGACCCGCACCCATCCACCTACACCCCACCCTGTAGTTGGTATTATGCATATGATTAGAAATTTAAATAAAATCTTTGTGAAGATAGTCATTGAGATAACAGGAAAAATACATTTGTAATGATGAAAAAAGTTGTTTTATCTTTGATAAATATGTTGATTATATCTAGAAAATGAAAAACTTGAAATGAGAACTGCTTTTATAATTTATTAATCTTGTTGAAATCTAATGATGTGAAAAACATATGGTATTAAAGTGATTTCTTTCAGATGTTACTATGTTCAATGACTAGAAAATAGATTCTATTTTCTAAATTTCTTATGTAATAAAATGAAAATATTCTCATTAATACATTGAATTTATCTTGAAAGAAATGAAATAATAATCACACTAAGCTTGTAACGTCATTCTTTTCAAGTTAATTATGATAAACATGAGAGAAAAATATTAAGTGAACATTATTATTTAAAAGATTTTGGTAGGAAGATTATTGAAAACATTGCATTAATCAAGGAAAAAACGGTAGACTGCTTGGATGTGTAAATTTACTAAAAAGAAATGATTGATTTCGTCTCATTCAACTATGGCAGAACTACTCGTTTAATCATTTTTATCATCTTCGTAGCTCAAACCAACAAAGTTGATTATTAACTGGCGAGTCTTTGACATGGTTGCAGAAAACTCCCAAAGGTCAAAAATGTCAGCTAGTAGTTTGTACAGCATTTATATTTGTTTTACAACAAGCATGGCACAGTCTGCTCATCACCACCATTGAGAAAAATAGTTACACAATGATGTCTTTTTCACAGTGAACGAAAATTCGTCCAACAAATCTGGAGCAATTTGCGAAGTTCTATTGAGCTGTCATAAATCATGAGAGAATGAGCGCGGTGGAGTATGTCGATCTACCCGGCAAAGTCCATGAAAAGGGAGGGAGTTCCAAATTTACCGGGGTTTAGTTCAGCGCTCATTCACAGATGTGTTGAATAAAATAAACTAACTACTATTTTGTCTTTTGTTTGCCACTCTGTTTAGTTTATTCTTCACTTTCTCACTAAGTTAAAGAATAAACATTCTCTCGTTTTGTAATAATCTTAATGAAATTTGAATGAAAATTGACAAAAAAGCTTTTAAGCATTTTAGATATAAGAAGATTTCTCTAAGCTACTTGAAGGGGACAGTATTTTATTTGACATCAGTTGTGACAATGGTGAAGATGTTGACAACGAGATTTGTATTAACGGTGGCGCAGAATTGGTCTTACACATAAGCTGTCATTATTACTAATTTGGTGGAAGTGAAATCATTCTCAATCAGAACGTTGTTAAGAACAGTCACATAAAAAAAAAGAATGAACAACACTACACAATTATTCATGCAATATAATTTGAACAATGAAGTCGATCGAGCTTCTGCCTATATTTATCCGATCACAATTACATTTGCAGTGATCACAAACATAATCAATATTGGAGTACTCTGTCGTCGAACTCTTCGTTCATCTGCCTGTACACATTATTTTCTCGCATTGGCTTCAGCCAGTCTACTCTACATGACTGGTTCACCAATGACTCTGTTTCTTCGTAGTTGGCTTGGAATATCGCTCAGTAATTCACCATTCGGATGTAGAATTCTATCTTTTTATATCTATTCATCAGCATTATTTGTTACACTTATGTTAATATTTGCTGCAATTGATCGATTTTTTGCAAGTTCATCCTCGGCACATTTACGCAATTTGAGTAAAGTACATGTGGCACAAAAAGTCATAATTATTGCTGGAATTTTTACCATAATTTATTCGAGTCCATTTATTATCATACAGTATTGGGATTATACTACGAATCGATGTTCACAATTATCAACAACAATCATTGTTCTCTATCTTTCAAGTCGAGTTGTTATATATTATTTAATGGCACCATTGACTATGGCCATATTTGGTCTCTTAACTATTTATAATATCCGAAGTCAAAAAGGTCGTGTGGCACCAGCTGTAATCAACAGAGTTCAGCTAAATCATCAACGTCGTAGAGACGGTCAATTGGCTCGAATGTTAATTATTCAAGTGAGTGCGTATGTCATCTTCTCCATACCATCTGCTATCACTTATACGTTAACTACATTTATACCTTCGATAAACTCATCCTTTACGAACGGACTTCGAACTATCTCGCTTATATGGCAACAAGGAACTTATCTATCAACATTTTTTCTTTATATTCTTTCAGCCAAAGTCTACAGACAAGAACTCTTGAAAATGTTCAAAGTGAATCATTATTATAATCAAAGACAACGCCATATTACACAACGTACTCCTGCTCAATATCAATCATATAATAAAGGTGACACTCGTATCTGAATTCATTCTAATCAAATAATCAACTGAGACTATGTAAATACTCTTTTATCATATATTTCGAGAGTTCTCGAATAAATAAATTATAAATATTATTTTATCAAAAATAAAATTGTCTCATTCGGTCAATAAAGACTAATGTTAGACAGCAAATAAATAGTTCTCAATGTCTTGTTAATATTTGTTATTGGATTAAAATCAGTAGTGATGAAATAAATAACTTTTGATATGGTAAATTTTACTTGAATAATAGAGACATTCGAAAGTGAACTGATTTAGAAAAATGTCTTCCGTCTACACTATCTGATAATGTTATATACTTGGATAATGTGAAAAAAACTGAGGACGTCTTTTCTATAATTGTACAAGAATTTTTCAAAACACTGTATTTATATTTTTTATATCTGACTGTTACTCTTCTTTTTATGAATTCAAATAGACACTATTCACAAGAAATATAAATCATCTATATAGACTCATATTTGCCATTGGCAGATCAGGTCGAATGGTATCGACATTAACAAAAAATATTTGTTGCTCCACCATTCTCTGATGAGAGCGTTCCAATTTTCAACCTGTCCTGTCTATTGCATCGAATTGTCAACGATATATAATGTATATTTTGATCGATTCAAAATAATACTGAGCGGTATCATATCGTGTAAGAAGCTGGTTGTAACACCACTGCGTATACATGGAATGATTCACTGTAGTGGGCAATATTGATTGACTTATCATAAAAATAATTGCTCGGAAATGCATTCATTTCTTAATGCATACGATATTAAGAGTGGATTTCTGAGAGACTCAGACACCGACGATGGTAAGACATCTCAGAATTCGCTGATTTTTTTAATATGTTATAGAGGGTAGTGTGAGGGTGTGGGTGTGTGGGTGTGGGGTGTGGGTGGGTGTGGGTGTTGGTATGTGTGAGTGTGGGTGTGGGTGAGGGTGTGGGCGTGGGTGTGTGTGGGTGTGGGTGTGTGTGAGTGTGGGTGTGGGTGAGGGTGTGGGTGTGGGTGTGTGTGAGTGTGGATGTGGGTGAGGGTGTGGGTGTGGGTGTGGGTGAGGGTGCGGGTGTAAGTGTGGGTGTGGGTGAAAGCAAGACTCACAACCACACCCATCCACACCCACACCCACGCCCAACACCCTAAGTGTGATGGATTGCTGTTTCTCTTATTCTTAAGGTGGAGTTTGATGTATGTAATGCATTCGCTATATTAACTGCATCTTTTCTTTTGTTCTAAACATAGAGTCTGACCAGAAACACAGACAAAACTAGTCACATAACAATTTCCTTTCTAGGGATGTAGACATGGATGTGCGTGTTCATCAAAACGATTCAGATCCACACCCACACCCACCACTTACATCCACTCACACACATACCCGCACTCACAACAACCCCACACTCCATATCCACACCTGCACAATCGTCTCCCTTGTCACACTGATAGCTAATACTGTAAACTAACGATAAGAAAAGCCTTCTGTGAACGTTTATAACATCGTTTGATTCTGTGTTCCCATCGTCAGTCCACACAAAGTAAGTTCTGTCATCGTATCTAAGATGTACACTGAGATAGTATTTAGATTTTTTAATTCGTTGGCATTGACCATTGGTGCAACCACAGGCTCCCCAAATGCATACGAGCGATACGAATAGTTAAAAAGGCATTGAAGAGCTTGACCCAAATCAACTGCAGCCAGCACAACTACTATGCCAGTAAACAGTGAAGCAACCATTCCAGTCGAGTCCGTTTTTTTTGCTTTTTTAACATTAAAATAAACCTTTCCCCACTTTATGTTTGTGCGTGAAGCACCTCTAGCACTTTATATCACGAAGCAAAAGTGTTATCTGAATTTTATTAGTATTGCATAGTCTTCGTAAGGCTGTGTTCTTCAGATAAAAGTCGTCACTCCCTACATTGCCTTATAAAGAAAAAAGCTTTCTTATAATTTATTTTACACGTACTTCACCCAATTAAGAAGCGTGAACGTGTGGGTGTCGAATGCGGATGTGAAAGAGAATGTGGATCTACATCCAGTCATACCCATGTCCACAATCACACCTACACCCACACCCTCTAGTGTTGTTGAGATGACTCACGGCATCTATTTAAATGATACTGTAAAAGTGCAGTATTTTCGCAGTAATAAGCTAAAGGTTTGAACTCTTCTCAAAGTATTCATAGTTCATTTGAAGCTACATAACCGAGAATCCCATGGGAGCTTCGTCGTCGCGGAGGCGTCTTGCCAGCTTTCTATTTCTGTAGATTCTAAAATTGCATGAATTAGCACCGAATTTGAGTGTCTGCAAGTCCAACAATCAGAATCGTGATAAATATGATAGACTCAATCGAACTATGCTAATTAGGAGTGGCGAAAGAGATTTTTGAAGAGTTTCCAGAAAACTATCGTGGTAGCAGTGCAATAGTCTTTTTTCTTCTAGGACTGTGGCGTGCCAACTGTAGATTTCCAACCACAATGGATATCTGTGCTTCATAATGCATATAGTTTTGACGGCTCAAAAGCGAATTATCAGTTAGATAAAACAATAGTTTTAATAAGTTCTTCTTATTTTAGCCGATATTGGTATTGAATAATATTGTCGAATTAATAATCTTCTTACAGGAAATCAAAGAGCTTTATATCGACTTCTTTTATAACTTTATCTCACATATAATAAAGTTTCAAATAATGTATTACAATATATTACATATCTTCAACCTGTTGATATTGATAGTCCATTTCTATGACAAATTCCTTCTTTAACTGATATGTTTGTTTATTTTCAAATGATCTCAAACACATAGTTTAAAACAGATGATTTTGTTTTTATTTATAGTTTGGATGTCACCAATTGCATTATTTTGGATGTTTTTCAGCGTGTTTGTCAGATTTTCGTTTCGGTTTTATTTACATCTCAATGCTTAGGTTTTTATATATATACTTTTATTAATGAATGAGAATGATTTAGAAAATAAATTTAATTTTTTTAGTCACAATTCTTATTTGACTTGTGTATAATTTCTAACGTTGGAATAATTGTTTGATTGATGCATAAATATTAAAAGATATATATGAAAAGCATGGAATTCAATTGATCAGAAATGATTCTAAAAATCGAAAGACTCAACTAGCTTATCGTACAATACATTAAGTAAAAAAATAATGAAGGTATGACAAGAGATGAAATCATATAAAATAAATTGTATCTCAATATCATAAGTTAGGCATAAATAACAGAAGATTTCATTTTGTACAAGAGTATTGCTGTGGCAGTGAATGTATAGATATCGGTTTAGGCTTTCTCGTCACACTCACACCCAAACAATTCATCTGTCAACAATAATGAACCTATTACTTTTTATTGAAATATAAGAAAAAAAAACGAAACTAGGATAGTTTTTCGAGACGCTAATTTTACATGAAAAAGAATGAGACCTTCACTATTTGTTTTTTTCATGTTGACTACCTACAACAATACTCTTATATTTTCTCTATTTGATGAGAGGATAACACATTTTCTTTTCCTTTGACTCACGTCTCCCACGTTTACAATAAATAAATATTTGACAAACATCAACATGAAACTTGCATGTAATCATCTATTTGATAACGTTGTGTTCTTTCCTTTCTCAAATTATCATGTGCTTTTTTGTAAATAATTCTTATCACTCGTTGAATTTCTGTTTTTTTGAGAAACTCAAAACAATCGAAGAAAGACTACTAAATACAACAGTACATCTACTCATTCAAAGTAAGAAAATGAAGAAACTTACAAAGTGAGAAATTCAATCGATATTTGCAGATGATGTCGAAAATATTTTTTGTTTTTAACGAATGTCATTCTCTAGCGAATTTAAGAGGTACTTTCTTTTGAGACACATACCATAAGGATATTCTTTCTTGGCCAATTATATGATTGAAATACTCAAGTACATTATTAGAAAAAATAAAATAAAATTTTCTCTGAGAAATTTTAGACAGTCGATACTTTCAAGGTAGATTTTTGGGTCAACTAGTTATTGCACAGCGCAAAAATTTCTTTATGTATTTTTTTCTGTTGTCCAAAAAGCCTGTAGCAAGAAAAACTTGTTGATATCACCAAATGGGAAATAACTATGTTGGAATTGTAGATCATAGTCAATTTAGTATCTTCATATGATTTTTTGCTATCTTAAAAGACGAATCTTAACAATGTAACAAGATATGTTTTCGGCAATTATCAAATGCCCAGTTCCGTTCAGATTCTGTTCTAATTGATAAATAAAAACTCTATGAGGGTGCTATATCAACTATGGACTATAATTTTAACATAGTTATTTTCATTTTGACGATATCAAAATTATTCATTCTTGTAGCAACAAGTTTTTTAATCAACGAAAATAAGTGTGTAAATAATTTTCATGTTGTGTTTTTACGAATTGACCTGGTAGTCTATCCTAAAAATTTCAGCTTTCACAAACTTCTGAAAGAAAAGTGGATTTCTTTTCCTTTAATGTTATAATTGTCTAAACTTATTCAATAAGATAAGAAACATCATTTTGAAAAGTGAAGAGTATTTGATGGAATATTTACTTTTACCCTAGAAAAATTATTCATTCTGATAAAGAATATAAGATAAAAAATAGCTCACCTTTATTCAAACAAAGTACTTCATCATCCTTCGTAGAGCTCTCGATTGTGCATTTTTGAATTAAAATCATACATTTCAGATCTCATATTCCTTGAAAAAAACAATATCATATTTTCAATGTTTATAATCGATGATCTATATGTTGTCTCTTAACAGATCGATAAAAATGTTTGTAGTTCTCACCCTCAGTCAGGTTAAACAAAGATTTTTTTCGTCCAATCCATAATTCAAACATCGATGAAAATCATTGTCGATTTTTTCTCAGTAATAGATAATTGAATATATTTGTTTTGAACAGCAAATTTTAGTCAAAAAAATAAAACAAATCAAAATTTAACATTCATTTTGTTGAGGAAAAAACTTTCGGTAAAGAAAAGTATCCTATGCATAGTTGCAACTTAACTCTTCACTTTATCTTCAGATCTTTTTTTCTGGTGGTGATGACTTTAAATATAGTCCTAAAATGGAATTTTTTAAGATTGATTCAATGACATGTTAGCTTTGGCTTTGGTGTAAGTATAAAAATTCTATTCTTTGAGTTTGTTCATATCTGCCTCGATAACAATATTTTTGTGGCTTCAAAAACTGACCGAGAAAATATTTAAAAATGTACGTCTAATACAAGTTTTTTTTTGATCGATCCAATGGTAGTACCTTGTTTATGGCTTTTAAGTTCAGAAGCGGTGTTATTCATGAAATAAACATTTTTTGTTCGCTCTGCAGCTATTTTTCGAGATTGGTTGAGAGAATGTAGAAACGAGAAAAGTTTCACGCAGGAAAATGCTCAAAGAAGAATAGCGAAAAGAAAAAGGTTAAAACACGGAACGAATCCATTTTGTTGATAATAAGTAAATCTTTTAGATCTTTTACGATTTCATATGGAGAAAAAACATAAATAGAAGGCGATAGTGAAGTAGACTTTTTTTGTTCCAAGAATGCTGTTGATCGATCGGACAAGAGTCTTTTTATATAAACTTAGTTTTCAGGAAATTGTCTACCCGAAATACTAAATTACAGTTGAAAGAGTTTGTACCTGAATAATTGTCTAGAAGCAGCCACTTCAGTTCTTAGTTTCGTAGAAAATATGTTCGCATTTAATGACTTGTTTCTTTACAGTATCTTTTTTTTTCAATCTTTTCTTTTTTGGTGTTTTTCTTTCGATGTTTTCCATCAAGATCAAATGTTCTTGGATCCTGCAAATGTCAGCTTTGTGATTTCAAACAAAACATTAAGAGTTTAAATTCATTTCACGTTTCACTGAAGAGAAAATAAGTCTCGACAGCTTTTTAATGAATTTTGCACTGTGTATTATTTATTTCAGTTGATATTTGGTTTTGATAATTTGGTCTTGAATAACTGTGAAAAAAACGTTTACTTGATATCATTCTATCAGAGGATCGACAAAACGCATTGTCTTCTTCTTAGAAGAATTTTCATTATTTATAAAAACATAATAGTGATATATTAATGTAGATGTGCGAAGAAATTGCGTTGACGAAGTCATTGACTGAGACAACTGTTCGATTTATAGAACGAAAGGAAAATGAGTGTGGGTGTGGGATGTGTGGGTGTAGATGAACACCTATGCCCACATCCCTCTACACCCACACGAGCAGTCATCCTATTCCGCAACGTTACACATTTTGGAATCAGTTCCTTCCACGGAACCAATTCCACCCAATTTCCAAAAATCCGTCAACAATCAAAATCACAGCCGTAACCTTCATATACTGAGTTCCTTCGATTTCCGGAATTCCGGAACCTCAGTCAAATCGGAACTTTTCGAATTCCTAGGAATTCCTTCCAATTCTGGAATTACAACTACTAATCTTAACATATCAACCAAGTAATGACTAAATTCCGCAACAGAATTTCGGGAATTGAGTCAAGATGGAATTTCTTGGAATTCTCGAGAATTTCTTCCCATTGTGGAATTACAACTTCTAATCTTAACGTACCAACCAACTAAGGACTCAATTCCGTCACAAAATTCCAGGAATTGAGTCGAGACGGAATTACTACCAAGTCCTCTTTCACCTAATTTCCAGAATTCCGTCCCGAAATGACTTACTTAATAAGGAAACTAACCTTTCACCCGACTACGATGCATGAGGTTGAAGACGGGAAGTAATTTCGGTGCGGAATTCTAGGAATTAGGTCAAAGCACAATTGGTAGGAATTCCTGGAAATTCTGTATAACTCCCGTCAGAATCAGTTTCCGGAACTTCGAGAATTAGTTCGCTACGGAATTCCCGGGAATTTGTACCAATTCCACTTCCACCTAATTCCCGGAATTTCGTCCGAGAATTACTTACTTAAACAAGAGACTAACCTTTCACCACACTAGGATGCATGAGAGTGAGCGCGGGAAACAATTCCGGTGAGGCATTCCGAGAATTAGGTCAAAGCGGAGTTGGTAAGAATTCCTTCCGATTCTGGCTTGACTCAATTCCGAGAATTCCGGAGCGGAATTGGGTCGATTGCAGAGAAACGATAGATAGACATCTATCTAAGATATCCTAATTCCGGAATTCGGTAGAATTCCTAGAAATTCCTTCCGATTCCGGTTTGACTCAATTCCCAGAATTCCGTAGCACAATTAAGTCGAGTGACGAGGATGATAGATAGATATTTATCTAAGGTATAGTAATTCCGGAATTGGAAGAAATTCCTAGGAATTGCTAGGGTCTCGTGCCTATAGAATTCCGGAATTGGGTGGAGCTGTTCCGGTGACGGAACCATTTCCCAAATGTTCAACATGGCAGCATAAGATGTATTCTCACACCCCACCCACATCCACACTCCCACACCTACATACACCCACACCCTCAAGCTGTTTTAATAGAAAAATCCCTGCTTTAACTTTAACTAGTTTATTAAAGTGTTTTTACAGTCAAAATGCCTCCTAGTTCCGAGTTCCCAGAAATGGGAACTCACATTTGATTGCGAGTTTCTGGAAATGGCAACCCACACGCGGATTTCCGCCTTTCCAGGAACGGGAACCCGCAGAGAGTTTCAGGTCACTAGGAATGGAACCCGAAATTGACATCCTTACCCATACACCTACATACTCACTCCCACACCCACACTCTCCTACATCCTGCATTCACACACCCACACTCTCCTACATCCTGCAGCTACACACCCACTCTCGGATACCTACACTCATTTCCAACACCCACCTACACTCGTACCTTACATCCACCCACGCCCACCCACGCCCACCCACGCCCACCCACACTCACATACACTCCTCACACTGACATCCACACTCGTATACACTCCCCACACTGACATCCACACTCACATACACTCCCTACACTGATATCCCCACTCACACCCCATATCCGCACCCACATCCACCGACAGCCACTCTCACACTCTCCCATACCCACATCCACACGGTACATGCATACCCATACCCAGACCGGTCATACACTCACCTACCGCTACACTCACATCCGCAGCCACACCCACACCCATCCACACCCACACCCACACCCACCCACGCACATACGTACCCACAGGTCCACCTACACCCACACCAAGGTACAGCCACACCCACCACATTCACATACGGACACTCCAGACCGACGTCTTCCACACAAACGACAATCATCTTTTCTCCATTGTGTTATCATTCTTAGACACTGCCGTCACGCTGATAATAACTTATGATAGGTGGAAAAAGAAAAAAGTACAGATCTTCAAAGATTACTTATTTTTGTTCTTCATGTAGGTGAGTGAAAAGCAAAACAAAATGACAACAACCAGTGCCCAGGAACAGTAAAAAAGAGAAGTGACGACCATGTCGAAGCGTTTTGTCGATTTAAGTTTGAAGAAAATTGAAACTGCCAATCAGACTCCCATCTCTGGATACTTGGATTTTCCTTTGCTTCCTCTGGAACAAACAATCGAAGTCCTCAAGCCTCTCGTTCCTAGCCTTACAGAAACGGTTTCACAGGCAAGGAAAGCGTGTAATCGAACGTCAACATTAGTTACTCCCGATGAATCAGCTGCTATTTACCTTTACACAATGCCGACAAAATTCTTTGAGCTGTTGAACAAGGCACTACGTGAAGAAAATCGACAAGCTCTAAAACCTTGGTTTTGTTTTATTCGATTGTTTATGTCAGCTCTCAGCAAACTACCGCTGATGACTGGTACAGTGTGGCGAGGTGTGAATGCTGATATTGGTTCATCGTACACTGAACAAATGGAACTAATGTGGTGGAGTTTCAACTCCTGTTCACGGTTGCCCAATGTAGTTGGACCATATCTTAGTGCCGGCGGTACACTTTTCGCAATTGAATGCAAAAATGGCAGAGATATATCGACATTCTCGGCTATTCGTGATGAAGCTGAAGTTATACTCATGCCCGGCACCCAACTTCGTGTGATGAGTCGTCCATTTACCAAGGATAATCTGCGAATATTTCACATTATCGAATGGTACGACGAAACGCGGTCTCCACCAATTGGAGATGCCAAAGGTAATGCGAAAAGCAACTCTCTCGATGAGTTCATCGGAAGAAAGTTAGACGTAATTGAGCGCTGGATTAAGACAGAAACGATGTTCCATCTTAATTTGAAAATTAAAAAGAAATTAAAAATTCATTTGAATTTTATTCTCAGTTGGGCAATTGACGGGGCACTACTCATGTAGTCGATAATTGATAAATAATGGAAAAATGACTTATTATTTTCCATTATTTCGCAAAATAGATCAAATAATTAATGGTAATGCATTATATTTCATATTTCCAACGCATTTCAATGCATTTTTCAAAAATAATGTTCTAATGACTGATAATACATTGAAAATCAATGCATTACCATGCCTTAGTAGAAATAACCCGAGCATTTCCATCTGAAACATACCACGTTTACATCGAAATTCGCCGCCAGCGATGGGACCTCGTGTATCTTGTAGAGAGTTTTTTCTAATTAATTCTATATACTGAAATGTTCAGCATTAATGCGCGACTTGAGATAAAATTAAAATACTTTTACGTTGGCAGCGGTACTCTGTATCGTATTTTTCCAATAAAAAGAACTTTTTCGATGTTATTCTTAAAGAACTATTCCTGCTTAGATTCTATTTACATTAATATCAATCTGAAGCTTATAATTGAACGCTTCATTCATGATAAGATCAGCTTTGCTATACGTGACTGTGCTGAGAAAATTCGTTTTGAATGAATGCTATTTCTCGCCTGACAGGTGAGCCGAGAATTTTCAGATAAAATGTTTGCTCATTTTTGGTCCAGTTGAAAGTATTTGAGACGAGTTGAAACCTATGGATTAGAACCAGAATTTTATGCCTTTTCTGAATATGGACTTAGAAATTTTGTGCCAGTTTTTATTCGAGAGTAGTAAGGGAACCTTTGAAACGTCAGAAAAATTAGTTTGGACGGAATGTGTGAGCCGAAGTTTCTGGACACAATGTTTGTTCATTTTTGCCTGCTTGAAAGTATTTCAAACAAGTCGAAAAGTATAGGTTAGAACCAGAGTTTTGTTCGCTTTCTGGAAATGAGCTTAGAAATTTTGTATCTGTTTTTGTTCAAGAGCAGTGAAGAAATCTTTGAAAGATCCTAAGAACTACTTTGGATAAAGCATAAACAAATTATTGCTGTGACGATTTCCGTAGTAAGAGACACTACTTAGAAGCTACTCTAAGCATATTTTATTGGTATAACAAGAAAACACACCCTCTCTGTATTTTTCTCGTCCCTTATATACTACTTCGTATATACAGGATATCCTTGAAAAATACGGAGGACACAATAACAGAAAAATATGAAAAGAACAAAGGTTAGAATATAATTATGAACCACGCTAGGTACGAGGGAAGGACATCCCAAGGATGCTATTCCAAAGTACATAACTATCGGAACAGGACATTGCCATTATTCCTTTTATGGATATCATGTACGAGAGGAGAACATACCAAGCATGCCGTTCCAAAGTACAATTAGAGAATGGAAAAGGATATTGTGGTTAGAGAACAGAAAAGGGTATTGCGGTTAGAGAACAGAAAAGGATATTGTGGTTAAAGAACAGAAGAGGATATTGTGGTTAGAGGATATTGCGGTTATTCCTTGTATGGATATGCATGAGAAGAGAATATGTCCTTCCAAAGTACACATGCAAAACGGAGTAGGATATTGTGACATTATGTACGAGAGAAGGGCAAACTATCATGGAAGGTTGGAGCGTTACAATTGCTAACCCATATTTGTCACACATTTATGAAGCAAAATAGAACGAGAATAAGAATAGAACTACTCGAACAATTAATTGATGAGTTTTATATGAATTTGTAAAAAACATCTTAT